TAATGGCCATTTGATTTGGATGAAATACATCTAGGACACTATAGGGTTGGTACCCCTAGAAGATGTACAAGGATTATGATCCAAGCTTATGAAATATTAAAATCCATTGCTTCTGGAATTGCCAAATGGAGCCAAACCACAGTCTATGAACTATTTAGGAAATTTTTATCACTAATCTCTTCATCTAGGTCCAAAAGTGGCACCCCATGGAGCCTGTATCTTTCAAGGGTTCTTCCTAAAAGGGGGGGGGGAAACTTTTCAGTTAACCCTAAGAAGGCCTAAGGACATGACAGATATCACTGATAGCTCTGCTAAGGTAAAAGCCCCTAAGGGAAGATATGCCAGAATGTGCCTCAGATATTAAATCCAGCCTACTGATTGGCCAGGCATTAAACATCTTTAACACAGAAAGTTACCTCTTCTGCAGCGAGCTCAATACTGCACCTGACCAAGACAATATACTCCTTACACTGCTTAGAGAAAACTAGCCAGCACACAGCTAAGCTGACTAAATCTATCTAACAGATCATAAAAATACAACAAGCTAATTTTTTCATAAAATCTACAATTCAAAAACATAAACATCACATTGGAGTGAAAGTGGTATTTTTTTTACCATGAAATAGATAAAAATCTCTGTGCCTCATAAACTAAAATTTATCTCATAAATCTGTATCTTATCTCCATCACACATGGCTTTATTTTCAGCTTTCCTAATTGAATCAGATTGACCGTTATTACCAGGCAGAAGTAGTGATATTATAAGGCGAATTGTACAGCTTCATTGTAACAAATAATAAATATCCCTAGAAATATAGCATGGGATGTTTGCATTGATAATGTAAGGTTATTGCTTTTGTCAATTAGCCTTTACAATGTTTTGACACAGATGAAGTGTACAAAAGTGGACACAGATGCCAAATGCTAAAGAACACAAATGTATGCCATAAACTTTTCAAGTTGACAGCACAATCCTATGATATATACACCCCAACACTGATACATTGTATGTTGGGTACACCTTTACACCTAGCTGCTAGAAATTCTGAAAGCTCTGCCACTACCCTATGCTCACTTCCTCTTGTGAGCTTCCCCCGACTATATCCTTCCCATGTGAACTTTTTTTACTTTCAGTTGGCATGTTCCATCTCAGTATGAAGGCAGATCAAGGTCATTAGGGTAACTAAATTAAAAAATTGACTTTGAAGACTTAATGCATCCTTGAAGATTCCTTTATGAACTTGTTTGTAAATGGTTTAAAGTATTATTATTATACAGTATTTATATAGCGCCAATAGTTTGCTCAGCGCTGTACATTATAGTGGGAGACAGTACAGTAACAATACAATGCGATACACGAGGGGTTCGAGGGCCCTGCTCCTTGGAGCTTACAATCTAGGAGGGAGGGGGAGAGTGGTACAGGAGGAAAGCTGTGGGGGATGGAGTGGTGGGAAGAGCGGAGGAGATCAGCAATTAGGTGACGGCTAGGTAGGCTTCTCTGAAGAGATGTGTTTTCAGGATGCACCTAAAGGTGAGGAGGGTAGGTGACAGTCTGATGGATTGGGGTAGTGAGTTTCAGAGGATGGGGGAAGCCCATGGAGAAGTCCTGGAGACGGGCATTGGAGGAGACCAGGGAACTGGAGAGTAGGATGTCTTGTGAGGAGCGGAGAGTGTGTGTTGGGTGGTAGATGGATATCAGGTCGGTGATGTAGTTTGGGGCAGTGTTATGAACAGCTTTGTACGTCAATGTTAATCTTTTGAATTTTATGCGTTGGGCAATTGGAATCCAGTGGAGGGATTGGCAGAGGGGGGAGGCAGATACGGAGCGGTTGGTGAGGTGGATGAGTCTGGCTGCAGAATTCAGGATAGACTGAAGTGGGGATAGCCTGTGTTGGGGTAGGTCGGCGAGGAGGGAGTTGCAGTAGTCAAGTCATGATATGATAAGGGATTGGATGAGTTGCTTTGTGGAGTTAGGAACGTGAGTATTTTGGAGATGTTGCAGAGGTGGAGTCTGCATGAATTTGTCAGCAATTGGATCTGGGGCTGGAAAGACAGATTTGAGTCTAGAATGACACCTAGTACTTTGCCTTGCGGGGTGGGGCTGATGGTGGCGTTGTTGGCCGTGATGGAGAGGTCATGGGGGGGGCATGGGCTGGGGGGGGGAAAACTAGGAGCTCGGTTTTAGCAAGGTTTAGTTTGAGGAAGTGGACAGCCTGATATGTCTTTCAGAAGGCTAGTGATTCGGGGCGGAGACTGAAAGGGTGAGGTGAGGGGTGGAGAGATAGATATGAGCGTCATCGGCATAGAGATGGTAGTTGAAGCCATGGGAGTGTATCAGTTGACCAAGGGAGGAGGTGTAGAGGGAGAAGAGAAGGGGCCCGAGGACAGAACCTTGGGGGACCCCAACAGAGAGGGGGAGGTGGCAGTGTTATACGTAACACTGAAGGAGCGTTGTGATAGATAGGAAGAGAGCCAGGAGAGAGCGGAGTCTCCGAGGCCAAAAGAGTATAGTTTTTTTTAGGAGGAGAGGGTGGTCGACCATGTCGAAAGCTGCAGGGAGGTCGAGGAGTAGTAGCACTGAGTAGTGGCCTTTGGCGGTTAGCAGGTCGTTGGTGAGTTTGAGTAGGGCGGTTTCGGTGGAGTGTAGGGGATGGAAGCCAGATTGTAGGAGATCAAGGAGGTTGTTGTCGGTGAGGAGGGAGCTTAGGCAATTGTAGGCTAAGCGCTTAAGGAGTTTGGATGTAAATGGCAGCAGGGAGATGGGGCTAAGGTTTTTTAGGTTGGTGGGATCCAGGGAGGGTTTTTTTTAAGTATGGTCAAAGGAGTGGGGGTATTGAGGGGGTTTGAGTGGGGGGGGGAGTGTTGGGTGGGGGTAGAGGTCTGGACGGTGGCGAGGTCAAGGGGAGAGGTGTTTTGAGGGGGTTTTTGTGTGAGGGATGTTTAGGCTTGCTTGGAAGCATGGAGGGAGGAAGTGTAGGTGAGGAAGGCAGATTTATATCTGGAGAACGCTTGTTGGGATCTGGTTTTGCGCCATAGTCGCTCTAGCTCGCGACTGCGTCGTTTGAGATTTTTGGTATGGTCATTCTGCCAGGGTTGAAGCGGTCGGGGTCTAATGTTTCATGTGGTTAGGGGGTGCGAAGGAGTCAAGGGAGGCTGACAGCGAGTTGTTATAGACAGTAGTGGCCAGGTCTGGGCAGGACAGGGAAAGGATACTGTCGTAAAGTTGGTCAGGTGCAAAGTGGAAGGAGGCAGGGTTCATGTTGTGGAGGTTTCGGTTGGTGATGGTTTGACGTTTGGAGGGGTAGGTGTATGAGGACGAGGAGATGGAAAAGGTAATGAGGTTGTGGTCAGAGAGAGGAAAAGGGGTGTTTGTGAGGTTGTGGGGGGGTGCAGAGATGGGAGAAAACAAGGTCCAGGGTGTTTCTGTCGGAGTGGGTGGAGGACTGTATACACTGTGTGAGTGCAAAGGAAGAGGTTAGGTGGAGGAGTTGGGATGTTGCCGGGCTATTGATGTTGGTAGGGATATTGAAGTCGCCAAGGATGAGGGTGGGCAGTTCGGAAGGAGAGAAAGAAGGGTAAGCAGGCGGAAAAGTCATCGAGGAAGCAGGATACGGATCCAGGGGGCCGATAGATGACTGCGATCCTCAGGGGTATTGGAGAGAATAGTCGGATGCAGTGGGCCTCAAAGAAGGAGAAGGATAGAGAGGGAGGGTTAAGGAGGACTTGGAAGGTACTCTGCGGTGACAGGAGCATACCAACCCCACCACCTTTCCAACCGCTGGGTCTGGGTGAAGTGGGTCCAGGTGAGACCTCCATAGGAGAGTGCTGCAGGGGAGGTAGAGTCGGTAGTTTGGATCCAGGATTCGGTGATTGCCAGGAGGTTGAGGGAGCGGGGAGACAAAGAGGTCGTGGATGGCGGTAAGTTTGTTGCAAACCGAACGGGTGTTCAGGAGTGCACACGAAAACGGAAGGGTGGTTTTGGGGAGCAGGGGGGCCGGTATTAGGTTGAGGGGGTTGCGGCAGTTCGTGGAAGTAGATGGGTGCCTTGTGGGTGAGTGAGGTAGAGGAGGACCAGGGTTTGTGGAGATGTCCCCCGTGGTTAGGAGGAGAAGAAGGGTAAGAAAGGTGGCATGGGAGCTGGAAGTATAAGAGCGTGTGGTTCTGCCATTGGTGGCGTTCGGGTCAGTGGGAGACTGGAGTAACAGGAGGAGGTGGTGAGAGCCGTGGAGGGGAGATGGAAGCAGTGAGGGAGCCATGTATAGTGGTTTGGGAGGAACGGGGGATAGAGAGAAGAGATTTTGGGGACAGAAGAGAAGAGTATGAGGAGGAGGAGTACAGGTGGCATTTTGGGGAGGTAAGCGAAGTGGCAGACAAGTGAGGTGGAAAGTCTCTCGGGGGGCTTGGTTGTAGATGGTCGGCGTGCGGTGACGTAACTCGTAGTCAAACCTTTTCGTGGTAAGAGTTCACGTGGTTGGGATCAGGATGGGCAGAGTTCAGTTCCGCCAGTTGTGATCGGATGGGCTTCGGGTGAGGGCGGGATTGTGCTGGGGTAGGCAATGGTGGGCCTCACCAGGTCGAGATCGTCCATTGGGCTATACTCTAACTCTAGTAGAGTATAAATACACAATTATCTGTTTTTATCTAGTGATTTAATAAGCTATGTTCTCTCATTCAGAACTACTTTGTCAGTGTGTATAAAGGTTGCAGTATGCTGGCAGACAGTTTCAGAAACATCCAAGTGTAAATGGCTTTTCTTATGTAAACTGTAGGCATCTAACCACTGCATCTCTGTACACCTGCTAGGAAAATAAAATGCCTAGTGTACGTAATCTAGTATTGTGAAGTTTAAACCTGAGCTTTGTTGGCTTAACCTCCACTTCTGAACAATGTCTTGTATTCTCTGTTTCTTTTTTTTTTTTGCAGGAAATGACAACAATAATTTCCGAATTGATGTTAGTACAGGGTTACTTGTTCGAGGCTCCAGAGCTCTGGACAGAGAGACAAACTCTTCTCATGTGTTAGTGGTGGAGGCATATAACAGTGATCAAGGTCCTATGAGAAATTCTGTGAGGGTAAGATAGGTGATATATACTGTGTGTGCACAGGCCTGAAAATGTTGTCTTAATTCTAGGAGCCGGGTAAATCAAGTGCCAACAACTACCTCTTTTCTTCCAATGTGGGGTCACTTAACAGAATTACAGCCCTCCTGTCTGGAGATATATCACTTTCTAAAGGACCAAAAATATGGAAAATGACCCAACATGAGAAGAGGAAAGGTGGAGGAATGATGTTGATTTTGTCTTGGGGTAACAACGCCAATAGGCCATGAAAATGTATTTGCCCCTGGGATCAGTAGGCCAGGGGGTATCCACTGAGATATGTACAGAAGGCACGGCATGTGATTGTTTCCCAGTCTGATTTTAATTTCCAGATCAGCTTACAGTATATTCATGGGTTATTGTATCATGTGTTTTTGTTACTATAGTTCAGTAACCTGATGACAATAAAATAATTGATTGTAACTGTTGTGTATTTATTAGGTGATTGTGTATGTTGACGATGTTAATGATGAAGCGCCAGTCTTCACACAACAGCAGTATAGCCGATTGGGACTGCGTGAAACTGTTGGGATTGGAACTTCTGTTACAGTGGTCAGAGCTACTGATAGAGACACTGGTAATGGAGAAAATACCACAGAGTTTGAATTACATGTTACAGCACATGCAAATTTAAAATGTATCTACACCAATGTGATAACATTTATTCTGACCAGTTAAACAGTTAATGTTGTAAATCATAATCTCTGCCTTAATTGTTTTTCCTATGTACAATAATTTGGTTCCTTTAGAATTGTTCACATTTTGTTTTATCCCATGTGCATTATCTGTGTCAATGGGCTTTAGACTTGTAATAATGAGCAAATGCAGCTTGCTTTCACGTGCACTGGCCATGCATTGTCAGGATAAGGTGCATCAGAGACCATTCTATGCAATGATAGGCATATATGTACTGCATCGACCACCTTCTAATTTACATTTTATCTCCTCATAAGCTGCATTGGCTGCTTCAAGCTTCTTTTGCAGTAACAATGACAGCAAAAGGAAACTTGATTATGCTTTGTAAACCAACTTTAAAAATTATGAAATATTCAAATAAAAAATCTTTTTATAGAGAGAGAGAGAGAGAGAGAGAGAGAGAGAGATAGTAACTGCTTTATACCATGTTGCAGGGGATGGTGGACTAGTGGTCTATAGGCTGCTGGCGGGCTCAGATGGAAAGTTTGAGATTGATGGAAGCACGGGCCTTCTAACTACAATCAATTACTTGGATTATGAGACAAAAATCAGCTACACTATGAATGTTTCAGCCACAGACCAAGCTCCTCCATACAACAGGGGTTTCTGCACTGTATATATCACACTGATGAATGAACCAGATGAAGTTGTTCAGTTCTCCAACTCCACCTATGAAGCTATGATAATAGAAAACATTGCTACGGGCACAGAAGTACTTCGGGTACAAGCACGGTCTATTGATAACTTGAACCAGCTGACATATCGCTTTGATCAGAACACAAATGCCCAGGCTCTGGCTCTCTTCAAGATTGATAAAATCACAGTAAGTAGACATAAGAGTAATAAATCTACAAAAAAGAAAATTTTAATCTGCACTTTTTAAAATGCGGATTCTACAGCATGTGTGTTTAAGATTTTATTATATCCAAATGTATATTTATTTGCATTACAGATTTTTTTCTCTTTGATATCATGGATGCATAAGCTTACAATTTCCAGTCCAAATTTTTTTTTATTAAACAGTGGAATAAGAGAGCCAACATCTTTTGTGTTTTCCCTTTCACTAGGGCTTATGTATTGTGCAATATGTACCAAAAATGGCTTAAATCTGATCTCAACGCCAACAGACCTAAACTGCACAAAATGTTGGTGGAAGGGTCTGATTTTATAGATACAGCTATTAGTACAATCCAATTAAGTCTACACACTTTTACATTGGTGTGACACCCCTACTTCTTCCTATATATTTCGACTTCTCCCAAGACCTACTCCTTCTGGGGGGTGCTCTGGTACATGTGAGCAGCCTTATGGAAGCAAGTCAGCTTGATCAATGAGATGGTCTTTCACAACACAGGAGATCGAGTGCCTCTTGTGCCTGTACCACAAAAATAATCATATCCTCTACACAGAAGAACACAAAAGCACATACAGTATCTCCCAGAAGTGAGTACACCCCTCAAATGTTTGTAAATATTTTATTTTATCTTTTCATATGACAACACTGAAGAAATGCCACTTTGCTACAATGTAAAGTAATGAGTGTACAACTTGTATAACAGTGTAAATTTGCTGTCCCCTCTAAATAACTCAACACACAGCCATTAATTTCTAAATCGCTGGCAACAAAAGTGAGTACACCCCTAAGTGAAAATGTCCAAATTGGGCCTAAAGTGTCAGTATTTTGTGTGCCATTATTTTCCAGCACTGTCTTACCCCTCTTGGGCATGGAGTTCACCAGAGCTTCACAGGTTGCCACTGGAGTCCTCTTCCACTCCTCCAAGATGACATCACGGAGCTGGTGGATGTTAGAGACCTTGCACTCCTCCACCTTCCATTTGAGGATTCCCCACAGATGCTCAATAGGGTTTAGGTCTGGAGACATGCTTGGCCAGTCCATCACCTTTACCTCAGCTTCTTTAGCAAAGCAGTGGTCGTCTTGGAGGTATTTGTGGGGTTGTTATGTTAGAATACTGCTCTGCTTCAGTATGTCACAGTACATGTTGGCATTCATGCTTTCCTCAATGAACTGTAGCTCCATAGTGCCGGCAGCACTCATGCAGCCCCAGACCATGACACTCCCACCACCATGCTTGACTGTAGGCAAGACACACTTGTCTTTGTACTCCTCACCTGATTGCCCCCCACACACGCTTGACACCATCTGAACCAAATAAGTTTATCTTGGTCTCACTAGACCACAAGACATGGTTCCAGTAATCCATGTCCTTAGAAACTAAAAACTCAAGCGAGCGCTCATATACATCAGCAGCTAGAACACTCAAAGGAATCACAAAGACCTCACAAGATAAACTATATAAAATTATAGTGCAGCGCTGAAAATAAATACAATTATGGTAGCTCAATAAATGTTCATAGAAATCATGTGCAGAACCATGAAAAGCTTCCTTCCTGAGATTCACTGATGGCAAGAAATATGTAGCAAAAATACGCACTCACCGACTGCGCATTAGGAATGCGCATATAAGTGACTATCAAACCGAGTAGCTGGCAACAGGTGGTACATCCCTCAGGGGTAAGTCATCAGCCTTGGGTGAAGTAATGTACAGCAGGACTCAGAGATCCCCTTAAACAGAGAATGGATAGCCTAGATGAATGGGCTCCCTCCTCTGGATGATAGATGAACTGGAAAACTGCTGCTGTGGATCGGATGATGAGGGATCTCCGGGGTTATCGGATGGTACAGCTGAGCGCTGGTTGTTCGGTCCTTCGGCCGGCAGGTGGTGGTGTTCCGGCGGGGGGCGGTGTAGGGACAGTCAGGCGTAAGCTTTTCATGGTTCTGCACATGATTTCTATGAACATTTATTGAACTACCATAATTGTATTTATTTTCAGTGCTGCACTATAATTTTATATAGTTTAATCCATGTCCTTAGTCTGCTTGTCTTCAGAACACTGACCAATTTGATGCAGTGTGCGGTGTATGGTCTGAGCACGGACAGGCTGACCCCCCCACCCCTTCAACCTCTGTGCAGCAATGCTGGCAGCACTCATACATCTATTTCCCAAAGACAACCTCTGGATATGACGCTGAGCATGTGCACTCAACTTCTTTGGTCAACCACGGCGAGGCCTGTTTCGAGTGGAACCTGTCCTGTTAAACCGCTGTATGGTTTTGGCCACTGTGCTGCAGCTCAGTTTCAGGGTCTTGGCAATCTTCTTATAGCCTAGGCCATCTTTATGTAGAGTAAGAATTCTTTTTTTTCATATCCTCATAGAGTTCTTTGCCATGAGGTGCCATGTTGAACTTCCAGTGACCAGTATGAGAGAGTGAGAGCGATAACATCAAATTTAACACATCTGCTCCCCATTCATACCTGAGACCTTGTAACACTAATGGGTCACATGACAACGGGGAGGGAAAATAATTGGGCCCAATTTGGACATTTTCACTTAGGGGTGTACTCACTTTTGTTGCCAGCGATTTAGACAATAATGGCTGTGTGTTGAGTTTTTTTGAGGGAGCAGCAAATTTACACTGTTATACAAGCTGTACACTCACTTCTTTACATTGTAGAAAAGTGTCATTTCTTCAGTGTTATAACATGAAAAGATATAACAAAATATTTACAAAAATGTGAGGGGTGTACTCACTTCTGTGAGATACTGTATGTGCACAATTTTATATAGTTTCATGCATATATTAGTCACCCTGCAAATACAGGCCTGAATCTCCATGTTTACTGGGCTTTGCCCATAGTAAACCACTCGTGTAAATGTGCAATAAGATGGAATTCTACCCAAAACCTTTTTTTTTTTCTGTGTTAGATAGGGGGGAATAATTAAGGCCATTGTCAGGTTTTTATAAGAGAAATTTTTTTGATTCCTTCTTGTCCCAATGACAAGATGGAACGAAAGAAGAACATTGTACCCAAAGTGAGCAAAAATCCCACCTTTGAGTGATCACATCAATACAGCTTTCATCATTGGAATATTTTCCTTTCTGCCTGTTTAGTTTACAGCTATTAATGGTGGGGCCTTGTTCAATTCTTGACTACGCCAGGCCAGAAAGCGAGGTAATCTTACCTAATGTAAACAATAAATCTCTTCCCCACTCAATCCAAACAAAAAAAGCTCTGTAAAAATTTCTACTAGATGGGTGGATTTGCCCTTTAAAGTGGAGCTATGGGCAAAAAAAAAAAATGACATATATGAGGAAGCAGACAAATTTAAAGTTTTTGCCTTTTAAATGTGTATTGTTTGTGTCTCATAATACAGTAGTATGGTACCGAGTTGGAGTCTCCCCTTCTGCAGCGTGTAGCAGCAGAGCCATTTTCTAGTGCTAATATGTATTGTTTTTCTACTCACTCTGCAGTGTCATTGCACTTTGGTATTTCATTTTGTGTATGATGTTTTATGGTGTTAATCCACATATTAAACATATATATATTTTTTACCACTGATTTGACTGTGTCATGGTCTAGTTTGGGTTAGAAGGAGCTGATTGGGCACTGTGATGCTGCAGCGTCTTTCCAGATGAACTGGCTTTTTATGTTTTTTGTTGGTAGAATGAAAAGACCTGAACATATTTGTTTTGCTACAAATTACTGAAACATATATAAAAAAAAATGCTTGTGCAACAAGCAAATCATTACTTGCAGTGTTTAATATAGAATTCTATGCATTTATACCATTATGTACAGAACCTAAAGTGGACCTTGCACTACAAGCAAAGTCCACATATGTATTCAAGTCCTCTCATGCCAAAAGACTGCAGTTTTAATATGTAAAAAAACAGTGGGAAAAAAGGTTAGGAAATATACTTACCTTACCCATACTGCACAAAAGTATGTCACAATCCTTCCAGCAAGATCCAAGGGGATGACTAGTAGCTTAAATCTTATGTGATGAGGTTCTAGAACAATGAAGGAGTGTCTTCTAAGGAGATCTGGGCTACTCTACATTCCCTGTGACAGGAGCATCTTCCTATGATATTTGGATTACTCATTACTGCATAGATTGGTGATTTCATCCATGCCTAGGCACAATGAATGAAAGCTGGAGTAAGGTATTTATATTTACTAGCATTTGCTAACTTTTTTATAGAACTGTTGTGTTTTTTGGCATAGGAGAGTATTTTTCAGTGCAAGGTCTAAAATCTGTCTTTATGTAAAGAACTTTAGTTTTCTGGTAAATATCAAACATTCCATATGGATACTTTCATTCAGCAAGTGGTATGTTATGCTCATTTTCATATATTTACCAGACTAGTCTTAACTGCTTAGCTATGTTTACAGAACTGTATAGCTGAAGTTGAATCACACATAAGCAAATTAAGGAGGTGGAGAAACCAACTTCCACTTTCTTCTTGTTCTGGGTGATGTAATATAAAGTTTGAGTCACACAGAGAAAGTCACAAAGGGAGCAACTACCAATGTACTTTATTAAACTCTGAATGCCCTGCATAACAAAGTGTACCTTATATTAAATTGCTAATTATAAAATAAAGAAATACAAAAGTTATGCAAACGTAAAGTAAAAGTTAGCTCCGGAACAAGGGCCCCAGCTGGATATTGTCCCCCTCACTTCATGTTCCAGTGGCAGCTCAAAATTTTGGGTTCTCCCTCACTTTCAGTCCTGGTGACTATGGTCACCGGAACACACACAGATTGTGAATCTCCAAAATGAGGACACTGACAACAATAAAAACCTACCACAAGTCCTAGCCCTTTCTCTATCAAAAGCTAAAAGCCTTTGTCTTTCTTTTTTTTTATTTTAGACATTTTAGAATGTCTATTTTTAGTCATTTTAAAAGCACAATTTTGTTCTTTTTTATTTTGCTTTGTTTTAGTGGTCAGCTGAACTCAGTAGTGTAATACCAATAAATTGGAATGCTAATAGTAACAGAACTCAACTGAATAGTAAAATTATTGGAGTCGGTAGGCTTTAGGGTGGAGTTGGGAATCCATAGTCAGTTTCCAAATTCAATATGGGTTGTTCCCAGAACACCATGTTATTGGTTTTAAAAAAGATTTTTCACAGTGGGATTGCCCTGTTTACTTCTTATATAATGCCAAAATGAAAAACAAAAGCCAGGGCAGGGAATCTGCGTCCTTTGTATTCACTGACTGTAGACACCTAAATGAAGCTACAAACTCTAATAAGAACAGATGCTTCCTTTTTTCACACATGTATAAATCATGCATAGCATTTTTTTTCCAGAAGTGCTGGACAAGCTCAGTTGATCATCACTTATTCTGCCATGATCAAAGGAAGAGAGAGTCTTCTCTAGACTTTGCTAAATGTTATAAATATATTTAACACATATTTATTAAATGCATCAAAGGTGACATTATTTGAGACTACATATCTATTAAATGCATCAAAGGTGACATTATTTGAGACTACATATCTATTAAATGCATCAAAGGTGACATTATTTGAGACTATATCTATTAAATGCATCAAAGGTGACATTATTTGAGACTAAGTTTGTTGAATATGTACCGCTATAATTAGGAAACACTACCATTCCTTTGAGCCCTGTTTATGTAAGTATGCAGGATAGTTTATTTTGTGCTAAATATTTTTTTGTGTTTGTATATTAGTGTAATGCAAAACAGTGGGGTGCAGTGATCATCAACAACCAATCACAGTCCACAAAAAAGGTAGCTGTACACCAGAAGTCAGCATTTATCCAACTCTGTTTACTAGAGCTGATGGAAATGTCAGCCAGACTCTGCTCTTCCATGATTATGGTGAAGATAACCATCAGCTCTAATCAATAGAATTGAATAGACACATTTTAGACTCTGGTTAAAAACAGGGAAACAGACAAACTGTGATACAGCTAAATAATCCAATTTGTTTGAAGCCATTGCCCACATGAAAAAAAAATATATATTTAAACCAAAAACTTGGTAACTTTAATTTGCTACTCCATTGGTAATCAGACATTGGTTATAAGGTAGGGCAAGTATTAAAAATTAAACATGTATTAGATATTTTCAAATAATGCAGTGATTTTTTTTTTTCTAGGGTTTTTAGAATCTGGGACAGAAGGGTTCCCGTACTGTGGGGCTTAGAACATTGAAAAGTTTTTGAAGTCTTAGACAAAACTCTTAATTGTTCTGAGCCCTACAGTACAATATTTTATTTTGAAGTAAAACATTAAACAACTGAATATTTTCTTAAGCCATTTTTTCATCTGTAAGGGGTCATGTCTTTCTAGGTCTCCAGAGGGTTAAGATAAAAAAAGACAAGTCTCCTAGTGAGAATAGGATATATTCTAGGACGTTATAAAAGACATAAAATAATACAGCTCTGTAATGATTATTACATAATTAAATATATTTTTAAAAGTACCTGGTATCAGCCTCTTGCAGACCCTGTACAGCAGGGCTGGAGTATGGGAAGAAGGAGCAGCGCAAAGAATTACTAAATTCTTGTTCTGTTAAGAAGCATGCTGATAGGAAGAAAAACAGCACGATAGAGAGATAAGCTGATCACTGTGTTACTTTTTCTTTCACTATCCAGGCTGGCGCATATCCAGGACCACCTGGGTTCAGAGAAAGTGAGCTGTATAATGATGAACATCAGACTGATGACATTTAGTACCAGAAAAAAGTGTTATGGGGAAATCACTATATTGAGACTAATTACTGAAGCAAAAGCTGGTTTTATTATTTTATCATTTAATGGCCTATTACTTTTTAATTTTTGTCTTTTTCAATTGGAGTTCCATGTAGCAGCAGAGAATTCATGGATAATTAGGAGCTCATTCCTGGAACATGCACAGCATATATTTTGTAAAATCTTTATTTACTGTGATTGCCTTCTTTAAAAACATTTGAGAGCAGTACAAGGTTAGGTCATAATTACATATTATAGCTAGCAATATAAACCCAATTATACAAACAAGATTCAGACCATCTCATATTTTTCACCATTATGTAATTGCAGGGTACAATAACAGTGAAAGGTCTGGTAGATCGAGAGAAAGGAGATTTTTACTCCCTGACAGTAGTTGCAGATGATGGTGGACCCAAACTGGAGACTACTTTGGTAAGTGTAGTGTGTCATCCTGAAACATTAATTGTAGTAAACAGTATGAAATTTAAGTGAATGTTTTTATGCAGATGTACAGTATAATAATATATGTTTTTAGATTATCATCACACTTTGTATGATATTTATCAATGTCCCCTAGAACAAATAAATTACACTTTTTTATTTTTCAAGATAAACAAAATGAAGGGTACAATACAGTACAATGAAAAGGTCTAAACGCAATCAAAGCTTAGAGTGGGTCCAATAAATACTGGAATATTCCATGGATGCATGGTGAGGTAAAAGGCATGGCATCCAATGAGGTCTAAATAGTATATACACAAAACATAGTAGTGTGAGGAAAGTAATAGTTCCTTAGACACAGTTATGGTGTGTACACATTTCACCTGATGCTTGATTTTTTTTTACATTTACAAGGGAGGAATAGGGAAGTATGGACAGAACTGTAGGGGATGAGGAAAGGGGGCTATAGTTAGGTAGTGGGTGTGGATGGTCAGGCAAAGAGTGAAATGAAAGGGCAAGAGGAGGGAAGATTGGGAGAGTAAGGGAAGCCTGGTCCCCACTGCATGATGGAGGAGAGGTAGGGGGTGAATTCTATACAGAGAAAGAGTAGAAAGTTGGAGAATGGTTGACTAGCAGGAAGAGCAAGAGATGTGGGGGGGAGAAAGCCTATTTGACAGGTGGTATTGGTGTTGGAAGGTGTTTGAGAGAAGCCAGATAATATTGGCCTAGAAAGAAGTTGTTTGTATTCATCTGTAAATGTAAACTGTGTGCAGTAAAACAAAGTGGTCCAGAACTCGGAGGCTGTTGCGAGTTGGTCAGCTCCTCCATGAGTTTGATGTTTATTGCTGTGTCCTTGGAGGGAAAGGATACTTCCAAAGTGCTGGAGCATATCACCTAGTTCCTGGCCAAATCTCTAGCAAGACTTTGAAACTGTGGGGTAAATGATGTTAAAGTTTAACTGTGGGGTATGAGCACTGACTGGGGTTCTACATCCAGTGGGATTTTGCTTTTGTAGTCACCTTTTGATATGCTTTTATGTGTGTGGTTGTATATGGTGACTCCAAGAATCTGTGGCAGGTTATAAAGCTGGGCAAAATGGCCATAATGTAAAGGTACTCACTAGGATGAACAGAAATAAACTAGAGGGTAATTTTGTAGGGTTGCCACATAGTAAGCAGGTGTCAAACCTGGGTGGGTATAGAAAGTAACAAGAAACAAGATCAAAGTTTGGTCACACCCTCTAGTTTGCACAGCTTACCCGAGTTGATAAAAAGAACACTGATGCATACATCAGAATGTGGAATGATCCAGACGAGGTATCAGAGCCAGAAACAGGAGGCAGTGCACAATGAGCAGCTAGCTGTTAGAGAGGAATTAACAGAAGGCTAAGCAGGAAAACACAACTATTAATTGTCAAACTATATCCAAAAATCACCCTTTAATAAGTAAGAAAAAATAATTCTGATGGGCTGTTGCGTTTTACTACAGTTTGCAGTTTGATCCTTTCCTTAGCCCATTGGTCTCCCATCAGGCCCAGTGACATGATATGTTCCCACAGGCTATTTGTGTTCTCTCCTTTACTGTTTTATACCCCCAATATCAAGCATGTATGTTAGAAATGAAGCAGGCAGTTTGGTCAGCCAATCAGAACTGTTTAGGACCATCACTAAGAAGAATATTAGCATTACCTGTGATCTACTGTCTGATGTCAGTAAATAAAAATGTATCGATGTTATTGTATATACATACTACAATGATCTTACAAATTATGGAAATCCTGAGAAAATATCTGTGGCACCCCTTATGCGAGGCTTGTATAGTATATATTTATAACAAAAGGTTATCAAGATGTATGCTAACATTGATGTTTTCTCAGGTTTATGCACTGTGTTTTCATCCTCCTTGTAGAATATTGGGGAATGATTGTGAGAAGGTACACACAAAAGCTGAAAGAAACAATATCCTACTTTGTGCTTTGTTTAATAGCAAAACAATAGCGGAATCCTCCTGCCACCTACCAAACCCCTTCTTCACTTCCTAGAGGATGTAGTTATAATGAATGTTACAGATTCGCCTTCCTCTCAGAGGATTTGGCTTTCCTAAAACTTAATTAAAAATTGGCCTTTTTTATTATATGTTAATTATGACAAATTTTCCTGCTCTTAACACAGCAGCTGCCTTTTTTTTAAGAAGCACAATTAGGAAAGCCCAATAAACTGCACCTGGAAAAATGCTATATTTAGTAGAATGTCACAAACAAAAAGTCACTTAATGAATGAATGAGCTGCCACATCCTTTCAGTGTACATTGGTATCAGTCTGATGTGAAGCCCTGCATTCTGCTGCATTTTTTATGCACATATAATATGCTATATCAGGAAGAATTTATTTTACTATTTTGGTAGGAATTAATTTTCATAAAATAAATATAATGAAAAATCAGGGCTTTTTTTGCAGCCAGAACACGGGGGGTATGCAGTTCTAGCACCTCCAGCACTAAATGTATGTAATGGCAAGTGTTGGGGTTTTTGCTAGAGGGTCTACAGCTGGGGAACTATTGTTTTGGGGGATCTATTGTTGCAGGGGGTTATTTTTGTTCAGAAGGTCCTTTGTTGCTGTAGGGGAGTCTATTTTTGCTAAGGGGGCAACTATTGAGGGGGAAGTCTATTGTTGCTGGCTTTTGGAGGGTCTGTTAAAACTGGCTGCTAGGAGATCTGTTGTTACTGTCAGGGGTCTATTGTTGCTAGAACAGATCTATTGTTGTTGGGATGGGTACAGGGGCGGACTGACCATTTGAAAACTCGGGCACTGCCCGAGGGCACGGGTTCAGTAAGGGGCCCCATGAGATGTCCCTGGTACCTTTTTCATAGGCTTTTTGAGTTTGGGCAAGGACACAGGGGCCCCATGATCCCCTATTGACTGGGGGCCCCATGAGTTGTCAGTCCGCCCTGGGTGGGTATTCGTTGTGGAGGGTGTCTATTGTTGCTGAGGTGGTGTCTTGTTGCTGGGAGGATCTATTGTTTTTGACTGCAGGGGATCTATGTTACTGCTTTTCTTTTATCAAGAACAAATCCCATACACATACAAATTATTATTATTATTATTATTACATCGAGTTTATATAGCACCAAAAGGTTTGCTCAGCGCTGTACAATAGAGGGGGGACAATACATGAAACAGTACAACAACAAATAGCACACGAGGGTTAGAGGGCCCTACTCTTTCGAGCTTCCAATCTAGGAGATTACCTAGTACTACAAAATAATACTGGATTCTCTATTCTCTAAGAGGGAGGATACTGGGAGGTGGAGCCAATGAATGATGCTTGGAGATGGGTAGGGGGCGAAAACAAGGCATGACTCAGAAGGGGGAGTACCTGCACATATTTTCTGAGAAAAAAAAGCCACATGAAAAATATATGTTAACATACAATATACCTCTCAGTCTCATATTATCACATCTATATTCTTCCCATGATTGTACATATTCCTAAACTGACTCTATGATCAAAATCCCAACCAGTTTTGCCAAGCACTATTCAGGTTTAAAAAATGAATAGGGTAGCACCAGAATAGGGATATTGGGGAGGCCGTATTCAAATGGGCTTTAGCTTGTATAACAGTGCATACAGCAAGAGTTTGCAAAGCATTGAAAAGGTTTTCAGCAAGCTTCAAGCTACTTTGGTAAAGCCTTGAGCTCCATTCACACTTGGCATTTCTGGAACATGCTACAAAGCACACAGAAAAAAAGAAGAAGCAGCACACACAGCAAAATCGACATTTTCTGTGTGCTTTGTAAATCCAAGAAACTCAAGTCCACTGCCACCTAAAACCAAAAAATAATTACAAAAGGCTGCAGCAAACACCAAAGAGTGTTCACACTCAACAAATAATGATAAAAAAAGAAGACAGTATTGCGCTGCCACACACACATCTAGAAAACTAATAACAACAACCATCATGTGATCCCATACTACACTATTAAATATAATAATCAATAGATCGTAGAAATACTGATATCAGTAATATATATTGCAAAAACAGCAACTATAATATATAATACTTCCCCACAATAATAAATAAAACAATAGGAATAAATGAGGGCAAAATTTGTATATGGGCTATTGTCAATGATAATCACCCAACAGTCCTACTAACCCCCACAAAGTGCTATAGTGCAGTAAATGAATAAATAAAATATATAATTCAGTGTCAGAAACTGAACTGTCTGACACAGAATTATTTAATTATTTATTTATTTATTCATTCATTTACTGCACTATAGCACTTTTTGGGGGTTAATAGTACTGTCGGGTATTTATTTTGAGAATTGCCCATTTATGAATTTTGCACTCATTTATTCTTATTGTTTTATATTTTATTGTGGGAAAGTGTTATATATTATAGTTGATGTTTTTTCACTATATATTATTGATTTCACTATTTCAACTATGTACTGATTTATTATTATATTTAATAGTGTGGTAGGGCATTGACAAGCATCACTGGTGGGCATTGACAAGCATCACTGACGGACACTGATAAGCGGCACTGTAAAAAAGGCAGCTCTGATGGGCACTGGTATGTGGCATTGATGGGCACTGACAGGTGGCAATTATGGGGCTACACTGATCATCAGTGCCCTGATGATCAGTGCCCATGTCCCCTCTTTGTTATGTAGTCAATATCACTTGCTTTATATTTGTGGAAAGCTATCTATATATATTATTGTGCATTATGTAGTACTTCATTACGCTCCTATAAAGAAAACTTTCCGTTTACAGAAAAACTAGAAGCAATTGACAATTCTCATTGTTATATTCTGAACTCAGAAAGTGAAAATTGATCCTTTTGTTTCCAAAACTGGCAAAAAATAAAAATTTGTTGAACAGTGTAATGCCACTGAAAGGCAACTGATGGGCACGGTAGGAATGTCGATTACCGGCTCTCCTCCTTACACACTGTCAGCATTTTCCAATAGCTTTTATTAAGA